TTCTATTGGCGGCCTTATGTGGATCAGGGTGACGTGGGATCACCCCCAAGTTTATGCTTAATAAGGTTACACCGTGATTTGATAGCTTTGGAATGGCTCCTAGCACGTTCGAGGATGAACATGTGTTTAAGTGGTGGAGGATATGACGACCCAACTGGTCGTTTTGGGAATCTGCACTCCGCTCGGTATCTTGAAGGCTTGAGTATCTTCGCGTGATGTATTATGACTTATGTGAATCGTCGGTTTTGGTATTCAGGAATTTGTAATTTGATTTGGGAGAATGACTCTCAGCTAGAAGCTTTGAATTTGAAAGTTTTGACTTTTAGTATTCGATCTCAGATGTGAATTTCGATGGTTCCGTCAGCTCCGGTAGGTGATTTTGGACTTAAGAGCGCGTCCGGAATGTAGTTTGGAGGTCCGTGGTAGAATTAGGCTTGAATTAGACAGTTGGAAATTTGGGGATTCCCGGGCGGCAGTGGAAAAATTTGATATCAGTGTCGGAATGGAATTCCGAGAGTTGGAGTAGGTTCGTAGTGTCATTGGTGACGTGTGTGCAAAATTTGAGGTTATTCAGACGAGGTTTGATATGTTTCGGCATCATTTGCGGAACTTGGAAGTTTAGAAGTTCTTAGGCTTCAAACCGAGGTTAATTTGGTATTTTGATGTTGTTTTGAGAGTTTCGAGGGTTCGACTAAGTTCGTATATTCATATATAACTTGTTGGTGCATTTGGTTGAGGTTCCGGAGGACTCGGGTGTGTTTCGGGTGAGTTTTGGGCGAGTCCGGGCATTATCGGAACTCAGGCATGGTTCTGGTGCTTAATTTTTGCGGACGGCGGCAAAATTTCGCTGAAGGCGGAGGTGGGGGCACGGACCGCATAAATTTGGTCGCGGTGGCGCTCCAAGGCAAATCTGCAGATTCGCTTATCCGACTTTGGAAGCCTATATCTTCTGATCTACAAGGAATTTTGCGATGACTCAAAAATAAAAGTTGTAGACCTTCGTGTCTAGTTTCCATAAAGCTAAAGAAATCATCATTAGCACATCTATAGAGAAAGTTATGGCCAAAATAGTGAAGCCCATCACTGCAGCCACTAGAAGTGCGGATAGCGCTACTTTTTCGCGACCGCGGGGGGAGGGAGGGGAGGGGTGGATTTTCGCGGCCGTGCCTGGATTTTCGCGGTCAGAGTAGTGAAGATCAGATAGAGCACTATATAAATGGGATTTAGGGTATTATTTTATATTTTGGACCTAGGGAGCTTTGTTTGTGGTGATTTTCGAGGGTTTTTCAAGAAATTCATCGGGGTAAGTGATTCTAACTTGAATTTGGTTAATATACATGAATATATCACTAATTTCATCATTTTATTAGTACTTTGAGGTGGAAATTTGGGGGAAATTGTAGAAACTTCATAAAATGAACTTTTGGGATTTGAACGTCGATTAAAAGTAGGAATTGAGTGAAATTAGTATGGTTAGTCTTGTAATTGAATGGGTTGTCGGATTTTGTGAGTTTTGTCGAGTTTCGAGGCGTGGTCCCGGGTGTGATTTTTGGCGGGATCTAGGATTTGATGTAGAATTCGATTTTTGTCAACTGTAATTACCTCATTGGGTTTATTTGATGTATTTGAGTTGCTTTTGGCTAGTTTTGAGCCGTTCGGAGATCACTATGCGCAGGATGGAATTTTTGGAGCATTGCCTTGCTTGCTCGGTATTGTTATTGGCTTATTCGAGGTAAGTATTTTGCCTAACTTTGTTGAAGGTTTTTTCCCTCCTATTTATCATTGTTTGCTACATGCGGGGGTGATACATATATGAGGTGACGAGCGTATATGTATGTGCCGGGCTAATCATGCTCGGGGGTAGATTATGCTATAATTGTGTCTTGTAGGATTACATAACTTTCTTGCTTCACGCTTCACTTGATTTACCGATGTTGAGAACGTAGTATAAAATGTTAGTAATCAAGAATTATCCCAATATAACTTGATCGAATTTGGTAGAATTCTGAAAATATATTGATGTGTCTAATTCGGTCATCTCTATGCGAAATCATTATTACATTACTATGGCCCATATTCATGAGATACTAGACTCTACTCTTGCGTTGTGGATCATTGTGAGAATTGTGAAAGTATTTGAATAATACGGTTCTCGAGGGTTGTTGAATCATTGTTGATTTGGGAAGATGTGATTGGGATTTGTTTGAAATATCTGTTAAAACACTCTCCTTGATGTTATTAGTGCTTCTTGCCTTATTTGTCATTGATACTCATATGATTGGTAAGGAAGAATGTAAAGCACAAAGGGTGATGTCGTGCCATTGTTTATACATTATCATGTGAGGGAGAGTGTAAAGCACGAAGGGTGATGCCATGCCATATTATTAAGAGTAAAAGCACGAAGGGTGATGTCAAGCTATATTATTGAAAGTAAAAGCACGAAGGGTGATGTCGTGCCATAATATTGAGAGTAAAAGCACGAAGGGTGATGTCGTGCCATATCATTTGAGAGTTAAAGAACGAAGGGTGATACCGTGCCATTTCATTTATATCGTTATTCTTGTATGTTATCGTGAGGTCATGGCACGATGGGTTTTTCGTGCAGGCAAGGATGAGGGACATGCATTATGTTTGATATCAGTCTTTCGTGTTTATGTTCTTGTCTTTACCATGAACTATTATTGTTATAATTACGGATCTGAAGTGATTTATTGCCATTGTTCTGTCATGATCTCCATCTCAATTGTTGTTGTGTTGCTCATACCTTTTACTTGCTTAACTTGCAAAAACCATGCCTATTTCCTGCTTTTATAATTATACTCATGTTGTATCTATTTTGTTGCACCTTAGTGTAAGCCTTCCACCATGCTAGTCATTCATGCCTTTACTTGTTAACTTGTAAAGATCTTGTGTTTCATTCTTGTTTGCTATATTTGTACTTGGGCTTCCACTATGCTAGTTAATTGAATTTTATACTCTTTGTTTTCCTATTGGTTGTTATTACCCACGTGCTTTCCACCTAGTCTTTTACTGTTGCCCACATGTATATACTCGTCCATTGTTGGTACTTGCATATTTCCTACTTTGTAATTCCTGTTATCGTGTTTCTGTCATCTGGTTGGTTCGCCTGTACGTACATTTGGGAAGGATGAGTTGAGCGCACAAAGGGTGTTGCCGTGCTAATTTATTTGTCGCATAAATTTACTTATATATGGTGAGGATGAAATAGAAGCACGAAGGGTGTTACTGTGCCATTTGAATTGATATCTTGGATACACTTCTCATACCAGGAATGATTGTAAATCTTCTACTGTGATTCCTGCTAGTAATTGTTGACTGTCTCGCAGAGTTATATACGGTACTTTTATCTGTTGTTAGTCTAATGTACATGTTATAACAATAAGCATCTTTCAACTAAAAGCCTCGTCACTATCTCGAGAGGTTAGACAAAATACTTACCAATACATGGGGTCAGTTGTACTGATACTGCACTTCTGCACATTTCGTGCAGATTTTGGAGCGGAGCTGCTGGTGACGTCGGGTGTTGATTCTGAAGATGTTCGTGCATTTGGTTATAGCTGCCATTTGTCCTTGGTAATTTAGATTATCGCTAATCTGTTTATGTAACCTTCAAACAGAACGTGTATTTATTTGTATCAGTTTTGAAATTCCAAACCTTAGAAGCTCGTGATTCGTACTACTAGGTCTTGGATAAATTTGTAAATGCTCAGTTATCTATTTTTTTTTTCTTATGACTTCAGTTGGGTTGTGTTTTTCTGTTAGTTGGCTTACCTAGCGGGTTGAGGTAGGTGTCCTCACGACTTGTGATTTTTGGATCGTGACATAATTTCATTTAGGTCTGAAAGTGTTCATTTAAATTTTGTACTAAAGAATAAATATTTAATTAAGTCGATGTTAAATGTTGTAATTTGATTGAGAAGACCTCACATCAAAGCACATACTAGTACTTAATTTAATAGTTAGATTAATTTCAAAACTTTAAAATAAGTGAAAAAATATATTATTAGTTCTTTTAAATTGGATAATCTTAATGTCCTCACACTTGGTTAATTGATTAATTGCTTAGCCTGAGATGAGCTTTATCTGGCCTTTTTTTTCCGTCAGACCGAAGCTTTTATACGTTTGACAAGCAACTCTTATCAACTACCCTTTAGGTACTAGGAATTAGCACGTACTTAAAACAATAAATTGCAAAAAGATTTTAAAAAGAAGAGGCAAAAGTGTTTGATTGGAACATCGACATGATACCTAATTCCATAGAAATAATAATATTAAAAATAAACATTTATTTTTAAACATAAATATGATTTGTATTATATTATTTTCTAATTTGTTTTTATATAGGATGGACACTTATGTAATAGAACATAAAGTATGTACTTTCAATGTGAAGGAGAAAATAGCCTTATTATATTATTAGTGCTAAGGTGGTAATCCAAGACTAGAAAATCACTCATCAAATATTTTATATAAGGCTATGCTAATCTATTTAATGCCTATTATGCTATCCTATGAAGCTATACTAATTAATCATCTAATTATGATATCTACTGTTAACACCTAAGGCCTATTATGCTATGACCTATGAGGCTATGATAACCTATGAAGCTAACTAATCCTTCATCTAATTAAGATAATCTACTAGATCTTAACACCTAAGGTCTATTATGGTAAGTATGACCTATGAGGCTATATCGTAAGTAACACCGTTGTTGAATATATGTCATTAACTAACTAATTACAAATAGTTGTTTGCTAACCTTTGCGCTGTAGATTAAGTTTGTTGAGAGCATTTATATTTGTTTGTTAAAAAGACACCAAATAAAATGTTATTCATATTTCTTAGGCACCATTTCATATCTTCTTTTATTTCAATGTTTTCAACACACATATATACTTCTATTTCAATTGGACCATACGCCCTTGCCAACACGGGCGGATCTGGTATACATCTTATGAATTTCGTTTGAACTCAGTAATTGTGGTTCAGACTCCAATTAATAAATCAAATATATAGTGTTAGAATTCCGAACTCAAACTCTCATAATATTTGAATTTCGAAAATAAAGTTGTTTCATATAGTATTTGATTTGCCTTGGTTAACAAGATGGGTGTAAAAGAGTTGATTCCAGGTATCGGGTACACCAGCAAGACACCAATGACTACAATCATTGCCCTTTCCCTTTGTGCCATCAATACCATAAATGGAAGGGTGTCCATCTTTTCTTAGCTGAGTAAGTAGTGTGATATCAAGTAATGTCACTGGCTTTGACATGTTACTTAACACGTCCTTCACCACGGTTGCTGCAGCCATTGGTCCACCTGGATACATTGACCCACTAATTGGCTGGGTCTCTCCATTGCAATTACAACTTGCCTTGCTACCATTCCATTCTTGCCCACTGATATATGTGGTCATATAAAAACATTAGAAAACAAGCAAAAATTTTCAGATATCCTCACAATCACTAATTAATCACTGTCCTTGGTGACAATAAAATTTCGGATTAACTTTTCTATATGTAGTAAAAGTAAGATGATATATTTTAACCAATTATTCAAAATCATGTATACGTTCATTCTCTTAATATATCATGTTAATGAGTCTTTATTATATTAATTATTTTGAATAATACTTTTAATATTTATAATGTATAATTTGTGTAACTTTGAATTCAATTTTGTCAAAATGAAATCTGATTGTTGAATACCAACAATATAATTATGAGATTTGAACAATATTTTTTTGCAACATCAACTGACTAATTAATAGTTTTAATGGTATTGAAGTTTTCATGACGTTCCAAAACGTTACATCCATAACTTTTATTACTTTGTTATTTCTTACTCCTATCATTTAGGAAAGCCTTAATGGCTTAAACAATTTATTATGAGATAGTCCACCTCCCTTGGACACACACACTCTCTCTCTCTCTCTCTATATATATATATATATATATATATATATATATATATATTCACACACATATACCTTTGTGTTCATTTTAAAGTGTGTGAAAAAGTGAAAGAGTAAAAAAATTTCTTCTCATATTCTTTTATTGTGCTGAGCTTTCTTTTTATTAATCTTTGTTGTTTCTGCTCCTAGTTTATACTAGAAGAGCTAGTTAAATCCTGAGGGATACGCCTAATCTTATATATTACTGTGTGGGCAAAATATCTTAAGGATAGTGTCCTTGACATCATTCAAGCTAATTCTTATTCTCCGTTTCCAATTTTTCCAACAGTTGCTAATCTGTCTTATCTTCCAGATTAATAATCTCAATTTTATGAATAATTACTCCCTCTGTTCCAGTTTATGTGAACCTATTTCCTTTTTGGTCCGTTCCAAAAAGAATGAACCCTTTCTAAATGTGTGGTTATAAAAGCTTCTCATTAAGGGTAGAATTGTAAGTTTAAGCTAAATTGTTACCAAATAATACTCTGGACCCCTTTTTGACTTGTTTAGAACCACAAATTTCAAAAGTCTTCATTTTTTTCTTAAACTCCGTGCCCAGTCAAACAGGTTCACATAAATTGAAATGGAGGGAGTATCTATTATTATTTTTTAGGTGACTTGATAGTATGAAAATCCTTTTTGATCAGTGTATAGAAGTTACACTTTAATTACCGAATTTTACTAGTACTTGATTTTAGACCCTGCCCAAAATTAGGTTGTAATAATATGGAAGTTCTTTGATTAAAAAGTCTCAAAAAGACCTTAGTTGCTGAAAAAGCTACACAAAGAACAAATATTAGTACTCACATATAGTAGGTGGGACGAGAAGATTAGGAGAGGAAGGGGACACCTTTGTTGCTACTAGTGTGTGTTTTTAGGTGTATTTAATTTGGCTAGGGACCCCCAATTATATTGCTAATATAGCTTCTTTATAAGGGTCCTAAAACTTCATTTTACATGTTTAAAATAGACTTGACGATTAGCAATCCAGCGCAATGATCCTTAGGATTGAAACACCTTTCGGCCTTTCAAATATAGTAATTAATTCAAAATCAAGCCATATGTTAAACAACGTAAAATAAAAATATAAGGAGAAGAAAAGGACAAAGTTTACTTGTAATTAAGTTGTGACAATCGAATAAGGTTAGAAATCCCAGCTCTACATTTCAAAGAAATTCTTAAAATTGCTAGAGTCGACTCCATTCTAAAGCCACAAGTACACAAATGAATTAAATTTAATACCAATCCTATGAAAAAAGGATACCAAAAAGAAAAGAAAGTAAGAAGCGTACTTGTAATGTGTTGGAGAGATGCCCTGAAAGAACACTCTTATTTTGGTAGGATCAATATTAGATTCTACCCATTTGGACCAAGTTTTGAGTCCCTCCTTGAAGGCCTCCAAACGATCCATGTCTTTATAAATTTGATCTCCTTTTTGGATAAAATCCCATCTGGAACAAATATATCAAATTAAGCCACATAAATAGAGGATTTTACACTATACGATAAAATAGGGAAAATCGGGTATTTTTAAAGACCTTGTTTGGATCGAAATAATCAAATATGATGCGGTAGCTAACAAAGCAAACCTTGAGCGACGATAAATCAAACAACAAAAGAGAAATATAACCAAAAGAGATACAAACAGTTAATGTGGTGCAGTCAGTTGACCTATGTACATCCACATGCTAAGATGAGCAAACTACTATATAAAAGAAAGTACAAAATAATAACCTTACAAAATTCACTCTTAAAGAGGTAAAATGCTTCACACAAGTGGCATGATAACACTTGTCTCACAAATTCTCTCCCTAAACAAGATCATCTCCCTTACTATGTACATTGTGAATGCTATCAACTGAGAAATAAATCTCAATAATCTATAGGAGTCCAGCCTTTTTCCTGAAAGAAAAGAATTCGCCATATATGGAAAATTTATATTTTTCTTTGAGTAAAAGAAACAATTAATTATGATATATATATATATATATATATATATATATATATATATGCATATAAATTTTATTGAAATTAAATTCATAAAATAATTTGAATTTTGTTGGTCCAAATAAATATTATGGGCTAATATAATGGAATTATATATATAAGTCCAATATATATGGATTAAATAAATAAGTCTTAATCCATTGGGCTAACCCATTTAATTGGGCTAAAAGTGATGAGCCCACTTCATTAAGCTCAAGATGACATCTTCCTAGAGGCCCAATTTGGTGCCACGTGTCAAATGATGTGGGTCGCCAAGTCAAACGGAAGAGCCAATAGGATCATGCCACGTGTCAAAATGATAAGGCATGTCAAGCCAAATCAAAAGGCCAATGAAACCGCACCACGTGTGTGCAAGTGACATGTTCTGGCCAATCAAATGCGGCCTTGTCACACTTCAATTTGATTGGTCAGAAAGAGTTTGTTCTTATCATAACTCTTCCCTTCCACAACTATAAATAGTGGTATTCATAACCTAGAAAAGACACCAGAAGTTATAACAAGAAGCAAGAGAGAGCTCGTAGATCAAACATCGAAATTTCTCAACAAATTCCAGGCTTCAAGCAACCAAGTTCAAGTTCAAGAAATCAAGTTCAAGCTCAAGAACTAAGAACAATTCAAGTATTCAAGATCAAGAGCAAAGTAAAATCAAATACAAGGCGTTCAAGATCAAGGCTACTTGTTCGTGATAAAATTCGTGGCAACAATCAAAGTGTTCGCGACGGATAAATCAAATTAAAATTCAAGATCAAGCTCAAAGGCCCTTAAATTTATATTGGAAAGTAGAATCTAAGGAATCATAGAGATTGTAACACTCAAATATTTGAGATAAAATACTACGATTGTTACAATATTTTCGGTCTTGATATTATTTTCTCGACACAATTTATTGTCTACTATATATATTGTCATCCTTCGAAAAACCCCTAAATATGCTATCAAACCTTTCATAAGATAAATTAAGCAGGTTGTACACCGAGAACAAAATAACTCAAAAGGCATTGATAAAAGATTAAACAGTAAAGCTTACGGTTGTTGGCTTCCCTTGTGGAGCCACCAATGCCATGTATTGAATATGAGCATGTCCAAGCCTTTCCAAGAATCGCCATTTTGTATTGAATCCAGCTTCAGTACTCTGCCTATTTTATCTTTGACTAAATCTACCAGAAAGGCGTTCCGTGATAAAATCAAAGAAACGTTATAGTCCTGCAATAAAATTAATAAAGATTTTTTATGTATAATTTTACTAGCAGAACATGATTACAAATTTTTACTAGGTTTATCAATTAATAATAGTTATGAAAGAGATTTATTGTAATTATCTTAATTATATGTGACCTGATAGTATACATATATTTTATATACCGTTAGTAGTGTATAAAACATAAAATCGGAAGTTAGTAATGAAGTTTAATTTACCTGGAAAACAAAGTTGGAGACGTCGCCTTTCCTTTGGATTGTGATGTTAAGTTGGGGCACTGTTGCATGCAACATGCATGTGAGTGATTGCCATTGGTTAAGGCTCAAAGAGTCTCCAATGAACATTATCTTCTTCCCCTTCACCCTCTTCAGAAAATCCAATCCATTAAATCTGTCAAAAAAGATTTAAAAAAAAAATTAAATAATTCCCAAAAAAATACTGTAAACTATGATTTTTAGCGAAAATTAGGTACACAATGAGGTATATGTAATTGATTATACGAACCTGGGTAATTCGCATGCAGTAGGCTTCCATTTGTACTTGAGATAGAGTTTATCTGGTCGTCCATTTCGTTGGCAATCGAATTGTCCTTCAATAAAAGAACAGATGGATGAATTGTATAATGGATATGAATCGTCATAAATCCAACTCCCCTGGAAAAAATCACATGAGCTGCTTGTTTTTGATCGTCTAGAGTGACTAAAGTGCTTTAGTAGTACGGCGCTAGTTGACCTGTTATTTAGGCACGAGACTAACAAAATAACATAAACAAAACAGACAAAGCTAAAATATCGTCCAGCTTCCATCAAATCAAAGGAAAGGGAAGAAGTTAATCAGAAAAAAGAGTGAAAAAGTATCAAAACTGCAAGTGCTTATGATGAATAATTCATTGTAGAAATACAGGCTAAGCTTTGGATCAGTGGTGATATATTGTTGGAGCCAAGCACACGTTTGTACTTTTTTTATAATTATTTTCATGTTATGTACTGAGTGTAGTGACCTTAACTTATTAGGTTGAAAAGAATTGTTCTCATTATTGCTTGATGTTTACGATTTGTTTTTATCAAGTTTCAGCAATTTAATTTGATCCTTCTAAGCAAAGGTATATCCTTGCTTTATTTATTTCCAACATTAGGACCATATGGCTACCAAATGATATAACATGTCACCTCATACTTTATTTTATGTCCTTATCTAGTGAGATTTCTTTCCTTTAGTTATTTTAAGCTAGATCTCCCATCATATTGCCCACTTGGATAGCCAACATTCCCATGCATATTATTGCCCACTTGTATAACCAGAATTGTACGTTTTCGTTGGGCTTGAAAATTTTGGGCCGCTAGCCATATGACTTCTAGTCCACTTTCGATGAATTTGGCCCATTCTAAAATTAGCTTAGGCTTCTTTTAAGGAAATTTTACTTCCAATAGCAAAGGTTGACACCTTATTTATTATAAATAAATTCCATTTTTAAAAATTATCTTCTATAGCAAACCTTTTAATTTTTGTAGCAAAATATCTATTTATGGTCACTTCCTACCGTTAAGCCATTAAATACGCTGTGTATTATTTTTCTCTCTCATTCTTTCTGTTTTTTTCTCTCATAAAATTACCGTATAGGATGTAAACTTCTCTCTCCACGATCTCTCTCTCCAATTTCTCTCACTCACATCGCCATTCTCTTCCCCATTCTCTCTATCCACGATTCTCTACTGATTCATCTCCATTATCTCTCTCAATTTTCAATATTTTTGCTCCAAAGAGTTGTGGTAAGTATTAAAGTTGTTAGATTTTCGCTGGTATTATTTCTTTTGTTTCTCTCTACTAATTTTTTTATAAATAATCACCATTGTTATGCTTTCAACAGAAATATTAAAATTTCCTCTCCAATGGCTGATTCAACATTCCAGAAGAGGGTTACCCGAGGTATACCCACCAAAGCACTCAATTTCGATGGTCCCTCTTTCGATTTGCAAATCACTCAAGCGGAACATAAATTTGCAGGTTCAACAACAAATACAGTTGCAGAGAGGAGAAAAAAATACGCAATGACACATCGAAGTAGCCCCAATTGAGAAATTTTCGAAAGAATCAACACTTCCTAATGCGGAAGAGAGAAGAAAACTTATGGATGATGCTTCAGGTGTTAAGGGAAAGGAGGTCGATGTAGGAACTAGCTCGGATACACCAGACGAAAAGGTAATTGTAGATGTATTTATATGTATTTGAGCCCACATACATTGATTATTACCTTCTACAATGGGTTTCTCTTATTGTATGTTAATGTATTTATATGTATTCAATAGCGCCTACACTGATTTCTCTTATTGTATTGGATGTATTTATATGTATGTTGATGTATCTATATGCATTCAATAGTGCCTTCACTGATTTGTATCTTATTACAGTGACTTTTGTATGTTGTATTTAGATGTATTTTAGTTCATTCCACAGCTTTTTGTGAATCTACTAGTTGTTCTAGTTTTAGTTATGTATTCCAACTAAGTGTTTTCATGTGTATTCTCAAGCCAACTGTATTCTGCTGTATTTAGAACAACAGTCATTGTCATAACTCTCATTTTTTGTGGTAATTATTAATACATTATATTTGCAAAACATGAATGAGTTATGTATTCCAAATAACTGTATTCATCTATATCTTCACTCATTTACTAAATCTTTGTAATTTTTGTTGTATGCAGGAAATTAAACTATTTGTTAAACACCCGCTTATTTTATCACCGCATATTGGTTACTATACTAACACAGACATAGTCTCCGTCCTCAAAGAAAAACTTACTCCAGAGCAGTACAAAATATTTGGTACTACTTATTTTAGAAGTTCCACGATATGAAGCGGTGTGAGGTCCAACATTAATTGTTCAGGTTCTTCATGGTTCTGCAGTTAGAAGGAAGTCATGATGATTCATTTTCAATATACGTCAATGGTACAATATTATCCTTTTCAATCAGGGAGTTTGCGTTGGTTACTGGTCTCAATTGTGTTAGTGACGCTAATGATTTTCAGTTTAACACAAAGATGCCTAACAGGATTGTGGATACATACTTTGGAGGTGCAAAGAATGTCAAGAAGAAAGATTTTTTGAAATGCTTTGATGACAAGAATTGGGGTTATGACAACGATGGGGATGCCATCAAAATAGCTGTGTTGTATTTCATTCACACTTTCATATTATCCACCGAGAAGAACTCTTTTACCATTCCAAGACTACATTTTGACTTGGTCAAGAGCGGGAGATATTCTGATTATCCATGGGGTAAGTATGCATTCGATCATCGTATTAAATCCATTAGCAAGAAGATGGATTCTCAGAAGAAGCACTATAGGATAGCTGGGATGCCTCTCGCTATGCAAGTATGGTTTTACGAGTGCCGTTCAAAGGTTGACCCCAAAATTGCACTGCGAGTTGATAACCGGATTCCCAAAATACTTAATTGGAAATCCATTGTCAACCATCCAACTTATGCTTAGTTGATGAACGGCATGTTCAACGACCAGGGAAACGTGGTAATTTACTATTCGTTAATTGGCTAATACTTTTGTTTTAGAATATATTTCTGTTAGTGAGATCATTGTTGAAATTAGCATTGAAATACAGTTCAATGCATCATACATCAGTGTCACTGTTTCAAAATTAGGTCGAACACAGTAGAATACATAATACAGTGTTAAAATTAAAAATTAAATACAGTTGCATACAACATACATAAAACAGTAGCATACAGTCACTGTTTTCCAAATTAATTAGAATACAGTAGACTACATAAAACACTTTACAAATACACATTTAATTCAATTTGCATGATTTTGTATACAATACAACTGAATATATGTATATAGATAATAGCCCATCATATTATATTTGTAATCATACATCAAGTATCATTTACTTTGAGTGTATTTCTATTTTCAGATGGTATACAACAACATTCAACCAAACGATATAGAGCTTGCTGTTATTTAGCTTCCTCCGAAAGGCGTTGATGTAGACAAAAGTCCTATTCATTCAGACAACAATGAAGATGATTCGGATGACTTTAGTCCTATACCACCTCTTTAGCCTAAGAAGAAACATGAAGCAATGTTGGTCCATCTTCATCATCGCCTCACAAAAGCGCAAACAACAGCTAATTGATCCCTCAACTGCAGAGAGTCCAATTCCACATGTGTCTGTAATACCTCAAACCAAGTTCCCTCCTACTGGTAATACTGAAACCAAGAAAACTATATTGCATGTTAAGAAGCTAGCAGATTCTGAATCAAATGATTTGTCTTCTTTGAGGAAGGATCTAAATTCATTCAAGGATTATGTGAGAACTGTTAAAACATATTCAACTTTACAGTTTATTTATTAACTTTAATATATGTTTCTAACCCCTCTCTAATTGTTTGTGTATTGATTAGGTTACGGGCGAGTTCACTTCTCTCTGAACATTGATCAATGAAAATTTCAAAAAGCTTTCTGAACACGTTAAAGCCAATCAGAATACAAAAAGGGTATACCAAAGAAAGAAATATATCGGGAGACATGATGGTGGTATTCAAATGTCATTCAAGGACAACTTGCACGATAATCCCAACTGCCAAACACAAAGTGATATAGCTGTTGGGGAGAACTAGGAGGTTTAACACTTTTTAAACTCTTTAGTATATATGCAGTATAACGATACATGTGTAATCAGTGTATGTATATGTTTATATAACTATATTCTAAATATGTATTGCAAGTTAGATTTTGCTATTATTCAGTTTAATCATGCATACAACAACATACATGTTACATAATACAGTTATATACATGTGAATAAAGTTTTACATATGTATTTAGGATTTTCTAAATACAAATTTTAAAATAGCTTTTATTATTCTTTAGTTTAATCATGTATACAGTAACATACATGTTCCATAATATACTTATATACATGTAAACACATTGTTGTATCTGAATTAATGATTTTTTTTAAATACATATTCTAAAACAGCCTTAACTATTCTTCAATTTAATCATGTATACAGCAACATACATGGTTCAGAATACACTCATATACATCTGTATACATTAACAGAATACAAGTCTGTAAAATATGGGCTATATTAATATATTCTATTGGGTGTATTATTAGGCCATGGAAAGGAAGTTGAACACCGACATTCATGACGATGAACACCCACATGCTATTTCAACTGGTGACACTTTAAATGCATCTACAAAGGTTAACCCTGTTTGTCGTGAAGTAAGAAAGGAGGGGCCTACTACATCGGAGGTGCCGTGTATCATACCACCTAAAACTTGCGAGGATGTATCCAGAGAAATACATGTATCACAATTTGAGTTGGCGGATGAGTTCCTCCCAAGTCAAATTCCAGAAACTAGAATTGTGATACATCAAGCAGCAAAACTTGTTTATTCAACCCCTTTACCCTCTCATAGGACTCAGCGTCCAAGTCGATGGTATTTTTCGCCTTACGAGTCAAACTTCGACTCCGCTAGTTAGTAAATTATTATACAAAAAATATGTATTATAAAATTATGATATATCTTCCCATGATAAGTATAATTAAATATCTCTATTAATGATTTCGATGAACCACAGGTACCTCGGTAAAATTGACTCCCATATTTGGAAAAAAATACCCCTTTGAAGATGATTTAATATCGGGGCCACATCCTACATTAATCATTCAGGAATATGAGAAATGGGTTCATGATGGTCTTCTTGCTAAACATGATCAAAAGTAAGTTTTTTTTTCGATCTATAATGTATAGCTTTATCAGTTATTATGTGGATATAATATTTTTTCCAATTCCTTTTAGAAAGGATAAGGTAGACCATTACAAGAAAAACAAGTCAACAATGCCTATACCGTTGGATTTTTGAATTGATGAAGTCACTTCAAAAAATTTGTTTTACCTTCTCTCGTTTGACGGTAAACTATGGAATGACGATGTAAGATATAAC